AAGGAAAAAGCACGATTAAAATGATGTCATTTATACCTTAGTGAAAAATACAGGATTTTTCATCCAACGATACTTTTTCTAGATAAAGAGTTTGCATGGCCTCCAAGATTGCTCTTTTTTTTAACCTAGAAGAAAGGTGCATTGCAAGGTCTTTTTTTCTTACAGTGTGTATTCGGAGTCCTGTATTGTTGTTTGCATGCGATATGAAGGAGGCCGGGCGTGGTGGCTCACCTGCCTGTTATTTCAGCCTTTGGGAGGCCGTAGGTGGGGCAGGCGCTTGGAGTGTCCAGGAGTTGGACAGCCTGGCCCACCATGGGCAAAAACGCTTCTACTACTAAAATACAAATTAGCTGGCGTGGGGGCACACGAGCTGTCAATCCAGTTACTCTGAGGTTGAGGGCAAGAGATCGCTTGACCTGGGGGGAGTTTGCAGTGAGCTGAGATTTGCAGTCTGTGAACTCTGTCGTCAAAAAAAAAAAGATACGATATAATTGACCTAAATGGAAATTAAAAGGCATAAAGAGTTGGGCCGGGGCACCGGTGACTCACGTGTTAATTCGCAGTACTTTGGAGGCCGAAAGTTGGGCCAGGTCACGAGGTCAGGAGACTCGAGCCTCCTGGCTACAAGGTGAAATCCCGGCTGTCTACTAACCAACAAATTAGGGCGGTGTGGTGGCAGGCACCCTGTGTCCAGCTACCGGCAGGCTGAGGCAGGGCAGTGGCGTGAACCCTGGAGGCAGGCTTGCAATGGACAAGATCGGCCCACTGCACTTCAGCCTGGGTAGACGCAGGAGACTCTAAATAATAAATTAATAATACATAATAAGGTAAAATTGAAAGTCTGCTTTGAGAAGGCTGATAATGCTGCTGGTCTTGTTTGTTTTTCGGACAGAAGCTTGCTTCTGTCACCCGGCTGGAGTGCAGTGGTGCGTCGGCCTCCCAAAGTACTGGAATTACAGGCGTGAGTCACCGTGCCCGGCCAACTTTTTATTTTTTAATTTCATTTTAGTAATTTATTTCTGTATCTTTTTTTTTTTTTTGAGACAGAGTTTCAAGATGGCACAATCTCAGCTCACTGCAACCTCCACCTCCCAGGTTCAAGCGATTCTTCTGCCTCAACCTCAGAGTAGCTGGGATTACAGCTGTGTGCCCCCACGCCAGGCTAATTTTTGTATTTTTAGTAGAGAAGAGTTTTTGCCATGGTTGGCCAGGCTGGTCTCAAACTCCTGACCTCAAGTCGTCTGCCCACCTAGGCCTCCCAAAGTGCTGAAATAACAGGCGTGAGCCACCACGCCCGGCCTCTTTCTATATCCATTGCAAACAAATAAGGACTCTCGTATAACACTGTAAGATAGAAAAACCTGCAATGTCACCTTTACTTCTAGGTTTAAGAGAATTGCTTGGAGCCATGAAACTTTTATCTAGAAAAAGGTATTCGTTGATGAAATATATTCCTGTTATTTTTCACTTAAGGTATAAATGACATCATTAATGTGCTTTTTTTCTTTCCTCTATTTGTTCTTCAGAATGCTAAAACAAATTCAGAATGGCATTTATCTCTCTTGCATAAAAGTTGAATGAGCTAAATTGTGGAGAAATTATAAAGATATTGGAGTGCCTCTGGCAGTTTCTAACTTGAAACACAAGGCATCTCTGCTGGCATCTCCTTGTGTTCTCTCTGGGAGGTTGGCCAGTACTGCAACAGTGGATCAAGTGAAGCAGTGTAGCTCTTACCTGCAGATGCGGGGCCTGGGGGCCCTGGGGGGCCTGGACGGCCAGGTTGACCAGAAGGCCCAGGCTTGCCGGGTGGGCCCATAACTCCACTATCCCCTTTCTGTCCCTGACAGAGAGAAAGGCAGAGCCTGTTATGAAAGCACGACATAGCAAGCTTCCTGCCCCATTTATCACTAAATCAGAGATCACCTTGTACTTAAGGAGCACTTAAACAGCAAGGTGCTGGTTAAGCACCTTGCACTTAACCAGCGGGGGATGCAGCTCCAGAGGTCTTGACCATCAAGCTCTTAATAAGCTTAGGGCAAGTGATATTTGAGATAGTGATGGTTACAAGTTTGCAGACCTTACTTCTTGCTCTGTCCTACAAATGTGGTACATGGCAGCTGAAAAGAATCAGACAAATCTACTCTAGGCCCCAGGCAGATGAGGAAATAGAGGCCTAGAAATGAGCTATTTTCACTCATTGGCTTCCCATTGCACTCAGGATAAAGACTTAGCTCTTTACCGCAGCCTGCGAAGCCTTGCATGGCCAGGCCTTCCAACTTCATTCCAGCCTTTTGGCCTTTTTGGTCTTCAAGGGCACCGTGTCTATTATCCCCCTTCTCAAGACCCTTCTCTCTGCCTCAAAATCTCCTCCTTCCCCCTAGCCTAGTTAACTGTCACTCACCCTTTGGCTCTCAGCTCAAACGCCCTATGGCAAAGCCTTCCCTGACCTTCCTGGACAGAGTCAGTTCACCCCACCATAAGCTCTCACAACTCAGTCTGTTTCCTTCATGGCATTTATCCCAGATCACAGCATATGGATTATTTGTGTGGTCATTTCACTGATGTCTCCCCATGAGACATACACATCCTACGGGCTGGAATCTGTCTAGCTCGCCTCCTCTCCCCAGATGAAATGAGGGAGGACAAAGATGCTAGAAACACAAAGGTAGGCAGCTTTGCTGATCTGTAAATCCAGAGGTTTCACCTTGACCTCGAGACTCTGGGTAACTCATGTCACTGCTTTGTACCTCAGTTTCGTCATCTTAAAAATGGGACCAGTAAATTTACACCCACATAGGTTTGTTGTGAGAGTAACAAAGATCTCAGAGGTGAAAATGTGGTTTGCACAGAACGAAGAGCTATGTGGGGTAAGCCAATTATCACAGCAACTGGCCTGGTTCCATGTGTTTCACAGAGTTAAACAAGTCCTGGTTTATTAAAAAGGGCACACCTGTGGCTACAGCCGTTCCACATGGAGTGTCCTCTTTTCTGCCTATTCTGGGAGCATCAAGAGCAAAGACTGGGCTCTTCATTCTCCCTCAGGGTTGCCCTTAGGAGTCACCCTGAAACCAAGGCTGGTGCATGCTATTGACTCTTCCCCTAAGCAATTTGCTAATTGTCTGCTCTTGCCTCAGGCCTAATCAGAGCAGTGATTGACGCATGACGTTTTTGGCCTGGTTCTTCTTACGACACTTGTGCCTTGGCAGGCTTGCCCACCTGATGAAATGTAATATTTCTCAAATCTGGGGAGCAGGCATGCTTGGGACTCCTTTTCAGCCACAACGGTGACAGGTGACCTGCCGCCTTGTCCACATGGCACTGGGAGCCCTCTTGGTAATGTCCAAGGAGTTCTTGAACTCTGAATATGGGATCTGTGAGGTCAGAGTTTATTTCTGATTTCATGTTTATGGAGGGAGTTCTTAAGCCTCAGCCCAAGCTGAAGCATTCCCTGCAGTAACCAAGCTGGGTCCCAGCATGGCAAAGGAAGTCACACCATCTTAATATAGCCACAGTTCAGGCTTGTTTTTCTAACGGCCTTGTCAGCTGGCTCTCAGCACAGGAAGTGCCAAAGTTTGAAGAAGCTGGAAATGCTCCTTCATTCTGACACCAGCAGTAATGGAATATTCCTCTTATCGGCCATCGCTCAGAATGAGCCATATCTCTATCAGCAGGAATCACTGAGTAGAGCTTTCCAGGAAAGGCATTCTTTATTCCTTATTTGCCACAAAGTTGGGTGATCTCTCTCAAGGAAACTGTTTCTCAATTACTGAAGGTTTTTGTTTTTTGTTTTTCATTTTAAACAGACATGGCAGGAGAAGGTTTGTTTTTTGTTTTTTGTTTTTTTGAGAGATGGAGTCTTGCTCTGTCACCCAGGCTGGAGTGCAGTGGCGTGATCTTAGCTCACTGCAACATCTGCCTCCTGGGTTCAAGCGACTCCTGCCTCAGCTTCCCAAGTAGCTGAGACTAGACATGTGCACCACCATGCCCAGCTAATTTTTGTATTTTTTAGTAGAGGCGGGGTTTCACTATATGTTGGCCAGGCTGGTCTCAAACTCCTGACCTCAGGTGATCCTCGTGCCTCAGCCTCCCAAAGTGCTGGGATTATAGGCGTGAGTCGCCACGCCCAACCGAGAAAATTTTTATAATAAAGTCAACAGCTGCTTTCCTGGGCTTGCCCAAAGGCAAGTCCTGAAGCATGGAGGTAGCTGAGAGAAGAAGTCATGTGGGGGAAGTTGGTCTCAACTCAACTCTCTGGATTCTAACCCTGGCTTTGAAGCTGACTTCATGGAGGGGTCTTGGGCAAGCAGCTCCACCTCCCTGACCCTCAGCTTCCTTGTGAATAACCTGAAGAGACTGGATTAAGTGGTCTCTGTAATCCTTCGGGCACAGAAATTACTATCTGAGATCCCTTCTGAATTTCTGATTTTTGGCTTTGGATTGACTTAACAATAACTTTCAGAGACTCTCAGCACTGCTGGCCAACAAACAAAGGGTATGTAAGACTCTAAGCTGGGAGATTAATTCATGACAAAAACAAGTACCGCAGCAGGCTTCTAAGGCTAACAACTTGCTATCTGCCAACTGGAGCGACACCAACCCGGAGGGTTTGCAGCATCCTCGGGTTGTTCACAATGTCTTGTCGAAAGCTTGGACTCATTTCTCTAACTTCTCTGAGCTCCCAGATGTGGTTTTGGTGTAGCTTTTACGATTCCAATGGAATCAGTTTCAGCAGGCTCAATAAATGGCCTTCCTGGCTTTGGTTATTACCTGGAACTAGGAAAAGACAAACACTGCCCAAGACAGAAGGAAGCCAGGAAGCTTCTGGAACCCCAAGCTTAAAATACTATGAATGGAATTCATTGGGACGGGATAAAGTGATACAAGAAAAGATTTCTCCCCCATTTTGTTTCCTTTTTTATCTGAGCCTACTTTTAAGAAACTGGTATCTGTGGCATTATTGTGAAACCATGACCCTGCTACCCATGATCAAAGTTTGGAAACTGGACTGGAAGACTGTAACTCTGAAAGTTACTGTGGAGTCTCCATTTTCCAGGTTGGAGTCTGTGTTCTTTCTAAATTGATTGGGAAAAGACCAGAATTGGCTTCATAGTGTTATTATGGTTCTGAACCCTGGCTGCATATTAAAATCACATGGAGCTTAAAAAAAATAACCAAACCCATGCTGAAAGTTCATTCCAGGTCAATTATATTATGGTCTTTGGAAAATAAGGCCTAGGCACTGGGGACGAGGAGTGGCAAGCTTGGAACTACAACCATTGCACCTGATGTGGGGGAATCTGTACATCTGTATTTAATCACCGGCCCCACCCCCAGGTGATCTTGATGTAAGATTAAGTTCGTGGGTCACAGATATAGCCTAAGGAAATAAGTAAAACAATGGAAAAAGCTTCCGTCCAAAGATGTTTACCTCTCAGGATTATATATAAGACAGCCAAGGCTGTCTCTAGAGCAGTCATGTCACATCACATGGCTTAACACAAGAGCTTTCTGACCAGGGGGAGTTCAGAATGAACAATTGCCTTAAGCATGTTAATAAACCCAAGCAAAAAGGTCACTTACAAATTGGAGACCTGAGTAGGGAAAAACCACCCTATTGTTGAGACCCAGAAGACCTCTTAACACAGGAAAATATCTAGGTTCGTCTTTAAAACTTCATTTGTGTCTGGGACATTGAAGCATAAAATAGGTTTTCTGGGTAAATGACCATATCTGCCTTCCATTCCTAGCTGCTTTGGTTAAGACAGACTTGTTTTTATGAACCAAATATCCACTCTTGCTTCTGGCCTTGGCACAGTTATAATGGAGCATCCTATCCCATCCACTTCCAGCTATGGCTAGCCTAGAGATGCCAGCAGCTTCTGGAAGTGGCGCTGCTCCTGTCTGCTAGCGCAGAGGACACTGGAGTCTAGGTCTACAGAATATCTCTGATTAAAGCCACCTGCCTGCCACTCCACACACAGCCAGGTCAGGAAGTTCTGACCTCAGGCGCGTGGTAAGCCCTGGGATCCTTACCTGCTTGCCTCGTTTTCCTGGTCTTCCCGTGGGTCCTCGGTGTCCTGCTATCCCAGGTTCACCTTTTGGACCCATTTCACCCTGAAAAGAAGGAAAGAGAAGCAAGAGAGGACTTAGGGCATGTGGAGTGGGCACATCTACACAGGTCTAGCTAGTCAAGAGTATGAGGGCAGTCTACTTGATCATTCCGAATCTATGCCAACTGGGCTGTCCTGGAAGGTTGGGAGAGTGATGAAGTCATGAGAAAGGCAGACATGTCTTTCAAGGAAGAGGAGGGAAGGAAGAGGGTAATTCTAAGTGGGTTATCTGTTACCTGAGAGGGACAGGTGCGGAGCAGCACACATTTTGATGGCCAAATAGGAGAGACAAATCATCACCCAGAACAGGCAGTGAGAGGCTGGGGCATCCAGCACAGCATGCCTGTGCTACTTACTACAAGCTGTCTGGAAAAATGCTTTCCTTCTAGTTGCAATTTTATGTTGTGTTTTCTTATGTGTTGCTTTCAGCACAAATTCAAATCTGGAAGCTTTTAAATGATTGGACACAGTTTTGCCAACTGTCGTCTTCGGGAAGTTTCTACTCATTTAATGACTCTTACTTAGGATTATGTGCTGGCCCACTCTTAGTAAGCATTGGTTTGAGTTCCAGCTCACTGCCATTTGATTTAGATGAAAGCTCTTTTGTGGGCAGAGATGTTCCAAACGTATGTTCAGATATTCAATATAATTATTGAAAAAGGCATGGAGAACAATGGAAACAGTATTCCTGTTTGTAAAGCTCTATGTTGAACTATCAAAACCCAGTGTACTAATTGCAGAATTTCATAGTTTAAGGCCAATATTTCACAAAACCCATTTCTCCATCTTAGTTTCTCTCCTTCTTCCCCATTTTCTTCTACATGGATTCCAGCCCCACTTACTGTTTCTTTGGGTCATGAACCCACAGGGCGCTTCATTCCTATCTCCAGTAATCCCCCAACAGCCCAGAATGCACCGCCAACAAGAAAAATTTAGCAATAGCAATCATGAGTGTTAGTCAGCAGCCAGTTCCCATGAAGAGCTGCCCAGCTACTCAGAGAGAACAAAAAACACCCAGGCACTTTTTCACGTGGCAGTCAGAGGAGGTATAACACAATAGAAAATTCCAGGGAACACCTGTATATGGAAAGGATCAAGCGTAAAGCTCTGAAATTATCTGTCAACTCAGCCAGTGTGACAATGTCTTGTTTCACCACCAAGCCACCAATGTCTTGTTTCACCAAGAATTGTCCTTAAATCTATGATTTCTTTCCAACCCACGCATCCTTCAACATTCTCTAGGGAATGGGAGAGTGTGAGAGGATAGGATGGATGCTACATGGCCATGGAGATGTTTGCAGTTTTTCCCTGGCTGTTTAGAGAGGCTCAGGGATGTCTTTATGGCTGGAAGAAAACAGCAGCACAAGCAGCACTTTTTTTTTTTTTTTTCAGGGATTGTCAGAAGGAAGTGTGGCCCTTCTCTACATTGGCTGGGAAGCAGTCAGGAATTTCTTGATCTAATTTCTCTCCCAAGACCTAATTGTGGTCATCACATCAGCTCTATCTTAAAACAGCCTGTCATAAAAGGGGAAGACAACTCTTCAGATGGGAAGTCTAGTAAATGGTGCAGAGGACAGAGAAGCTGCCATACTTAATTTTACGGTAATTTATTATTCTTTGATGTTCACTGTTGCCCTGAATGAAAAGCTAATCTAAACATTTTTAAGTAAAACTGTTTTTCCTCTTTTAACATTTCCATTAATTTGCTTATATAATTAATTTTCTTTAAGTTACCTGAAATGGACTCCTTTTTTATTAAGCCTTGTCCCAAGCAAGATATCCGTTAAATATTTAACTATTTATTTATTTATTGAGACAGGGTCTGCCTCTGTGGCCCAGGCTGGAGTGCAGTGGTGCAATCATGGCTTACTGCAGCTTTGACTCCTGGGCTCAGGCCATCCTCCCGCCTCAGCTTCCTAAGTATCTGGCACTACAGGTGCACACTACCATGTCCAGCTAATGTTTTGTATATTTTTCTTGGTAGAAATGGGATTTCACCATGTTGCCCAGGCTAGTCTCAAACTCCTGGGCTCAAGCCATCTGCCCACCTCGGCCTCCCAAAGTGCTGGAATTACAGGCATGAGGCACCATGCCTGGCCAATATTTAACTATTTAAATACAAAATTTAACTATTAAAAAATGTTAGCAGTCTTCAGTTCAAATACTTTTGTGTCCTTCTGGCAGTATGTGCACCGCCCTTGAAGAAGGACTGCAATAAGGCACAGTGACCTTAAGCTAAAGACACCTGTGCCTTACACTGGGGCCTGTGTGCTGAGAGGGGCTTTGACCCTTGTGGCTCAGATCTGAGTGCATTACAGCCCTCTAAGAGGTAGGAAAAGCAAAAAAGCAAAAACAAACAAAAAAAAACAAACAAAAACCCAAAACCCAGATGGGTTGTCCTTTCCTTCCCATTGAGCTACAGGGAGGCCCCAGACCATCCCGCCACCCTCTCCCCAGGGTGAAAAGCAACTTTCTTCCCATCCCAAACCAGAAGTTTCCATGGTTAAACCCACCATCCCTGCCTGACAGACAAGGAGGCAGAGCTCTTTTTGTTGTGCTTGGAGGACCTGATATTTTTACTGAGGTCTATTTTCACTACCTCAAGGTTACTTACTTTCTGCCCCAACATTCCAGGAAATCCTGGGAAACCCTGTAAAAAAGAGCAACAGATACTGTGACTGCCTCTGAAATAACACCTGAAATAGCTGTGGACAGGCTTGGTTGGTCATTTTCAAGATAGAGGCCTGTCCATCAGTCCATCATCAGTCCACAGATGGGGGTGGGTGGTGGCTGCTACTTGCATTGACATTTATCATTTCTATGGAAAGGTTTTCTCCATTACCTTTTCTCCTTTGGGACCCAAGTCACCCTTTTCACCTCTGGATCCCTAGGAAGAAACCACAGGACAAAGTCAATGAGTTAATATACTGGGAGGGAAATTTAAGCATTTCCAACTGAAAAGCTCCCTAAAGCAAAACCCTCATTTTACAAGTGAAGAAATAGGCTCAGAGATATCAGGTGACTTGTCCAGGGAAGGAATGCGTTGTGATCTACTTTTTGTTGAAACCCGAAGACCTCTTGCATTCATAAAGGAAAACTCACAGAAAATTCTGGGCCCCAAATCCTCTCTCATCCTGTAGGAAATTTGTCCACAGGTTGATGCTAGTTTTGATTTGGTTTTTGGCCAGGTCAGAAGGTTGTATGGTGGAAGCTCGGCCTAAAGACATGCATCACCAATTTCCTCCAGCACTCCATGCAAACTGTGCTTGTTGTCCACCTGGCACGACCTTCATTTGCTTATGTGCTCCACATGAGGGGCCTCTGCCTCTATGGGGAGCCCTTCTCTTACCAGCTTGCCCTGCTTCAGGAGGTCCCTCACTTCTCTCTCAGTCCACTGACAAAGGGCGGGGAATAGCTAGGAATGGTGGCTTCAGTTGCAGACTAAAGAGAGACCTAGGTCCATCCTCTGCACATCTCTGATTCCAGAGCCAGTAGCCCAGACCAGGCTCTGGGACACCATCCCAGAAAAGCACTAACCTTTTCCCCTCTGGATCCAGGGTAGCCCTAAAAGAAAGCAGAAGGAACATTTACAATCAGCCCTGTAGAACTTTTGAGTTTGGTGCAAGAATAGGAGGAATCCCTGACTGTGGTGGTAAGGTGTGTCTCCACATTGCACTGTGAGTTTTAGTGGGGTTGCAGCACCAAACACAAAGATGTCCCAGAGGGTTGTGGTTATACCAGGCCTATAAGGAGCATTGCTCTTATCACCCTGCAAAGGCCTGATCAAAGGTTTCCATCTGCTCTGATGTCCAGAAGCTTGGTTCTTTCTGCCCAAGAGAACAGCAGGAATGGCATTCCTATGCCCCTGCATCCCAGGGCATGATGTTCTCCAAAGGGCTGGTAAAGGCAGGCTCTCCAATATCCATGACATTCCCTAGTCCAGGACGGCAGCCCCACCCAGTCCCTATGTTTGTAGACAGCAGCTGCTCCAGAGTCTTACAGAGAAGATCTGGGAACGTCCATCCAGACCACACACTGACCTTGGAGCCCATTGGTCCTCTTGACCCTGGCAAGCCCATCATACCCAGGTCACCTTTTTCACCCTGTGCGAATTAGAAGACAAAGAAGAAAAGACCCATGATGATATTTTTTAGAGAAACTGAACCAGGAGAGTCACAGGCAAGATTGGGAAGGAACTGGGGATATTAGGGCTGGCTTGTAAATCTGAGGACCCCAGTTGCGCCCACTTTCTCCCTCCCGGGGTCTCAAAGCTTCATACTCCACATTTCATTCTTGTGTTTAAGATTAAACATAAAATGAAAATGCCCAAGGTGAAGCAGATCTCCACACCAACTGCTCACTAAGATGTTGTATATGGTCATACTTGGTATTTTCCTAGCGAGGATAGTGAGAGAGTAGTGGAGGAGGCATGAGGGAACTGGGGCCTCAGAAAACAAGGTGTCAACACGTGCAAAAAACATTGCCTGCTTTGCTCTTCACATAGGAAGGGTCCTCAGAATGACTTGTGGTTGGGAATTCCAGCACCCACCCTCTGTACTAAAAATACTCTATACCAGTACTAACCAATAGAAATATAAGGTGAGCCACATACTTAATTTAAAACTTTTAAAAGAAGTCACCTTAAGTAAAACTAAACGAAGTTAATTTTAATAGATCTCCTTTAATCTAATTAATCTAATCATCCCAACTTGTAATCTATATAAAATTATTGAGATATTTTACATTGTGTTTTTCGTAATAAGTACTTGAAATCTGCGGTGTAATTTACATTTACACATCTCCATTCAGGTGCTAAATTTTCATCCAAAATATTTGATCTGTATTTAGAGATCATAACATTCATAGTTGAAAAAGCAGATTCATACATTCAAGTTGCTCCAAAAATACTTTAATGTTTTCAAATAACTGAATTTAGTAAAGGTTTTAAACTTAAACAGTGAAAATTTAAAAATTCAGTTCCACAGTAGCACTAGCAACATTCCACAGACTTGAGGGTCACATGTGGCCACTGGCTGCTGTGCAGGACAGCTCAGCTCTATGCAGAGGATTTTGAAAACATCCTTGGGACTTTTCCTAAGAGGACTGGAAACACAGTTTTCCGCTGCCATAATATAGCCAATAAATGAATCAGAGCAGACGGTGAGATCCACCTGCCCAGCTCTGACTTCTGCAGATAAAACTCCGAGCCATGCCTCTGAACTCTCTAGTCTATGACTACCAGTGAGAAAAACAGAGGCGCAGATGGGGATGTGCTTGCTTTCCATAGCCTGACTGAGGAAGGAGATTTCATCAGCACTCAGCAATCCCTCTCCGAATGTAGGATTTCCATCCTTCAGTCAGCCGACACCACCCACTCAACTCTCCATTCCCTGCCAGTTCAGCATGACAGGCAAGAGCTTCCCAGACACAAACCCCTCTTAGGTCATCTCAGGGAAACCAGAGTGGGGTGCTAGTTCCTAGGGCAAAGGAGAACCAGGGCCCCTGTAGAAAAGGGGATCAGCCCCCTATTTCTCCTCCCACAGGAGAACAGCTGTTGCACTGACCAAGGTCTTGCAGGCCAAATGAAGGAGGAAATATTAGGGGCCCTGTGGCCAGTCCTTAAGCTCTCTTCTTCTTCCCCCTCTTGAAGAAGGGATTCCCTGACTACGTGCCAGGAGCCAGGAAAGCTGCCATCTTCCCCCCTCTTGTTTTGATACCACATGAGCCCTGACAGCATGCCACACTTACCCTGGGTCCTTCAGGGCCTGGCCAACCGATGGGCCCAGGCATGCCAGGAACACCTGGGGGGCCAGGTCTACCCTTCAAAGACCAAGAACAAAAGTCAGGGCAACTGGGTTTGTTTTCTTACTTCTGATAAATATGTCTTGTCTCTGGGGCCCAGAGGAGAGAGTGGAGTCTCTAAACATGGCTACTCTGACCTTCATCCCCACTCTCCAAAGACTGATGGCCTGACAAGCCCTTGGTGTCACACTGTATCACCAAACAAGACCTTACTCTTCTCAAGAAATGGAGAGTGGTGAGAAAGGGATTCTAAACTTGGTTTTTCAATTTTTATCACTTCTACCCATGCCCACCCAAAAGTCCCCTGCATTCCAATGGGTTCTTCCCAAGGATGTGCTATGGAACGAGATAGGATTACATTTGGGGAGCAGTAGCAGATGCTGTCAGCACTCTTTCAAGGTCTTTTTGACCTGCTCAGAGTGCCCATCGCCCAGAAGCTACCTTCCTTGCTGCTAACAGCTCATTTCTGCAACCTGTAACTGCGGTTTGCCCTTGAGCAGTTGGAGCTGCCCAGTAATTTATGTAACTCCCCTTCCTGCAGCCAATAGCCCAGCTCCCTTAACTTTGGGCAGTTCACACTCTCAAGCTCCCCCTAGGGAATCAGACTGCTAAAGCTGGACTTCACCTGATACCACACCCTTGCCTGGCTTCTCCCATTCCCTCTACAGGCTCCTCCCGAGTGGTCCCATAATAATGGTTCACTTGCACATGGTACATGTCACCTCTGCCTCTGCCTAAGCCAGGGCTATGGAAGAGCAAGCCCTGCAAGAGACAGTGGGTGCAGGTGCTAAGGGCCTATCTTGACCTTGTGCCCATTAGCTAATTTCACAGTTAGCTAGAGATGTGAAGGGCTCAGCCCCTAACCCAGACATGCCAAATGCTGGCATGTGTACTGGTTTCTACTGTTGCCTCCCACATCCATGGCACACATCACTAATCAATCATAGTCCTTGTTAGGTCTGAGCATGGACACCACAGCAGAATATCCTTTGACCATTGCCATGGAGACCACCCCAGCACTTCAGACAGCCGCTGTGCCTTGGCTATAGTTTTCATCTGTGCCCTAAAGAGTTGTAACTTTGTCTTGCAAAACTCTGTTTAAGGAATTTGTGGACAATGAAACCATTTAATAAACCATTTAACAAGAAATACAGTAATTTATATTTAGAGCCATGGATATCTTTCTTGGCCAAAGTTTTGCACCCCTGTCTATAATCAAGACCTAGAAATTCAGTGCCAGTATCCACTGACCTCAGCAAATACAATAGGCTGCTGATTTACTCCCTCTTGACACTAATGAGAGCCTTGATAACATGTGTTTGGTTCACTCAGAGTCACTGTGACCTTAAGTAACCTCCATTTATTTCAGCTGAGCCAAAAAGCAAAAGCCATTTGTTTCTGTCTGCTCTGGCACTTTATTCAAATTTAATCAAATAGACAGTGAGAGTCATTCTGTGTCACTGGTTGCAGCTATGAAGGGTTTCTCTGATGGGTAGCAGAATGAGATGGTCTGGGGTTGGGGTGGGAAGTGAGAGGGGTGGAATTTGGCCAGGCTTGGCAGCCCCTGGAAGAAGTCTGAATGCCTGGCAGTAGCAGGCTCCTGCTCCTGAACAAAGAAGTTGACAGAAAGGGCGAGGTTACTACTGTCACCATCGAGACGGCAGTACCCTCACTGTCCACCTGCATCGAGACGGCAGCACCCTTGCTGTCCACCTGGGTATCAGTGGCCACTGAAGTGCACTGCTGGTCCCCCATCCCTAGGAGTGCATGCACACACATGCATGTGGAGCACAGACGCCCATGTGACACTCACAGAACAGTGCAGACCATACCTTCCTTCCTGGTCGGCCAAGCTCCCCCTATGGACGGAGAAGACAGGTAAGGAGAGGCTGCTTTGGAAGAGATGTTCTGGAAGCAGAAGGCTTAGTAGAGTTGATGACTGGGCATGGCCATGTGGTTCAGCTGCTTGGCTGCTGCTCACGGCCCCACTGCCATGTCAGTGGGCTACGTCAAAATACACCAGTGGTATCTCATAGGTGCTGCAGCAGCTCAGCCATCATGACGCCCAGCCTCCCACACCAAGGCACATGTTTGGAAATCTCAACTAGGAAATTCTCAGTGGGACGCCCAGAAAACAGGCTGGAATTACCAAGAAAAGAAGGGTTGAAGAAAGTAGTGGTTCAGTTCATACCTTTTCTCCCTTTGGTCCTGTCTTGCCAGGAAGCCCCGGTGGACCCTAATCAATCAAGATAAAAAAGTGAAGAAAGTATATATCAGTTCGAAGCTGTATGGGTGGGGAGGCTCTTGGTGCACTGGGCTCCTACAGCAGCAACCTCATTCTCTGGGAAGATGTAGGATTCCAGGGACCCATGGAGGCTCTTCTTGTGCCCTCCAGCCCAGTCCCCTCCTCTGTTCTTCCTCCTGTTTAGCTTTCTCTGAGCTGTGTTTCCAGTGGCTCCATGGTTGCAATGCTCACATATCTACTCTCTGTGGTTTTAATTTTCTCCCTGTAACTCTTTGTTTGCCTAAAACATCCCAAGTGCTTGTTGAGAGCAACCAAAGTGTCTTGAATAAATCCCACTTGCTGAAAACAAGAGGCTTCATCACCTCTCATGTCTTTTCAGTTACTCTTGCCAAACTTTCCTGGGGGCCTGACAAGAGACAAGTTAAGTTTTGCACATAGCAGCAGCTGCCACCTTGGAAATTCCCATGGTCAATTTGTGGGTACTAGGTGCCAAATAATTTTTGCCTTTCTTCAGCAGGAAAAAAATCTTCTTTTTTAAGACACTAAGAATGTTGGCAAGTAAAGAGTGCATTTTTGTCCATTGGAGAGGAGCCGACTCCAGCTCAGGGACCCTACAACTCACTGCATCAAAGCTTTGCACATCCACAGCCAGAATGTGCCTGCAAAATGCTCAGTCAGCTATTTTCCAGATTCTCCAAAACAGCAGAGAAGAAATTCATCAAAATTCCCCAGGCCCCCACAGCACCCCCAGGATCTGCAGGTGAACATGCAAAATGCAAAGCCTGTTTGAAACATGATTTCTTTTTTATTTTATTTTTTATTATACTTTAAGTTCTAGGGTACACGTGCACAACGTGCAGGTTTGTGACATATGTATACATGTGCCATGCTGGTGTGCTGCACCTATTAACGCGTCATTTTACATAGTAATCATCCCTAATGCTATCCTTCCCCCCTCCCCCAACCCACGACAGGCCCCAGTGTGTGATGTTCCCCTTCCTGTGTCCAAGTGTTCTCATTGTTCAATTCCCACCTATGAGCGAGAAATAACGGGTGTTTGGTTTTCTGTCTATTGCGATAGTTTGCTCAGAATATAGGTTTCCAGCCTGTGCATCATGTCCCACAAAGGACACGAACTCATCCTTTTTTTTTTTTTTTTTTTTTTTTGAGAACGGATGTCTCGCGCTGTGTCACCCAGCTGAGTGCAGTGGCGCGATCTCGCTCACGCGAAGCTCCATCCCAGGTTCACCCATTCTCGTCGCCTCCTCGAGTAGCTGGACTAGAGCGCCCGCCACCACGCCCGGTAGTTTTGTGTATTTTTAGTAGAGACCGGGGTTTCAACCATGTTAGCCAGATGTCCCTCGATTCCTGACCTCGTGATCCACCCGCCTCGCCTCCCAAAGTGATGGATTACAGGCCTTGACCACCCGCCGCCCGGCCCAACCTCATCCTTTTTTTATGGCTCTAGTATTCCATGGTGATATGTGCCACATTTCTTAAACAGTCCTATCATTGGAGGACATTGGGATTGGTTCCAGGTCTTGCATTAATGAATAGTGGACCTGCCAATAAACATCGTTGTGCATGTGTCTTTATAGCAGCATGTTTATAGTCCTTTGGGTGATACCCAGTAATGGGATGGCTGGGTTGAATGGTATTCAGTTAGATCCTTGAGGAATCGCCACACTGTCTTCCACCAAATGGGTGAACCTATTACAGTCCCACCAACGTGTAAAAGTGTTCCTATTTCTCCACATCCTCTCCAGTACCTGTTGTTTCCTCACTTTTTAATGATTGCCATTCTAACTGGTGTGAGATGGTATCTCATTGTGGTTTTGATTTGCATTTGTCTGATGGCCAGTGATGAGCATTTTTTCACGTGGCTGTTGGCTGCACAAATGTCTTCTTTTGAGAAGTGTCTGTTCATATCCTTCACTACTTTTTGATGGGGTTGTTTGATTTTTTTCTTGCAAATTTGTTTAAGTTCTTTGTAGATTATGGATATTAGCCCTTTGTCTGATAGGTAGATTGTAAAATTTTCTCCCATTCTGTAGGTTTCCTGTTCACTCTGATGGTAGTTTCTTTTGCTGTGCAGAAGCTCTT